TGCAGCGCGGGCAGCCTGAGGCTGAACCTGCCCGCGTTCGCAGCGGGGCAGGGCGGCGTGTCCCGCTTCGGGCCCAGCCACAACAGGAATGTCCGCCAGCAGGTCCCGCGGCGGAGGCGCCGTGCTCTCCCACTGCCGGGGAGCCGCTTCCGAACCACGAGTCGAATCGCGCTGGCGACCGGCTCGGTGTTTGCAGCCACTCGCTCCCCTGGTGCATCTCACTTGAGAAATTCGAGAAATTTGGAAACCTCTGTGCTCGCTTCGGCAGCACATGCACTAACACTGGAAATCTTGAGTCTCTGTAATCTGCTTGTGCAGGCTAAGAATGCTTCTTTTCTTCACCTTTCCTTAGACCAGTTTTGCAGAAAGAACTCTTGACATCTATAGGTGACCTTCCGCTGGGCACACTACCTCCGACGTGGGCTGACAGGCCTGGTCAGAGGAGGGACACGTGGAGATGCTCAGCTTCCATTAACGCCGGCCTAGGTTTTGCATTGCCTTTCTGTTGAGGCAGCAGCCCACGGCGCGTACTGAACTTGTAACCACAGCTCAGGTCTTCCCTTATCTCTGCCCCTGACAGAGCAGCCTGTCTGAACCTACATCTGTGCTGAGTTTACCCTGTAAGTTTGTTACATCACTTTAAAACCGTTTTAAAAGTCATGATGACCGCGTGAGATTATCTTGAATCTTGACATTATATTCCCTGTGTCATCCCTGCCAGCTTCCTCTGGTAGACAAACATGATTAGCTAGGCCTCTGGCTCCATCAGAGTGACTGTGAGAATAGTTGAAATGTTTAAAACCAACGCCTGACTCTTCTTAATGAAAGTTCCCTCCAGGTTTACATCAAGCCGTTAATCATTATTGTGAAATGTTTGTCCCAACAATTTGGAACAAACTGAACACTACAATGATGTAACATTTCACCATCTTATCTATAATGAAATCACGGGAAATTTTGTTAGTTTTTGCTAAAACCCAGATACATTATGTTCACCATTCTCCAGCCTTCTGATTTAGTAATCGTTCAAAAAAGAAAATCCTGGTGGTTTGAGCTAATTTTTCCCGAAAGCCCTCTAGGTCTCTAAGGATTACCATAATTTTTCCTCAATGTTCACAAACTTTCTATTTCATAACTTACTCTAGAATATTATTTATCTGTAGGTTGAGGAATCCTTTTTGAAAGTCAGTACATGATCCAACCTCCAGTCTTTCCATTCTTGCTCAAATTTTCCTGCCTCGGCTCTGAGACACAGCTGGAAGTTCTTTCATTCCCCAAAAATATACTTTATCTGCTCTAGTGACACAACTGTTGTAAAACATCTATATGCTGTGCTCCTCTACTATTACTATCTATCTTGGGGCTGTATTTCTTTCTCTGTGTTTATTCTTTGTCTTTCCTAATTCAAAACCAGGTTGTGAAAGATGAGTATGAGTTAAATAGCAGGCATTTCAAGTGAAAAGGGTAGCATGAACAAAGGTGTAGAGATTTGTTCATTCAGTATTATTTACTGAGTGCCTACTGTGTGCCAGGGGCTGTTGGGATTCAACAGTGAACAAAATAGACAAAAATCCCTGATCTCATGGACTACAGAAGAATTGGAAAATAAGTAACATTACAAAATGTTAGAATGGCAAAAGGTGTGATCATTAAAAATAAAGCAGGGAAAGGGTTATAAAGTGGTAGTGGGACAGCAGTTTTAAATAGAGCAGTCAATAAAGGCCTCTTTGGAAAAAGCATCATTTGAGAAAAAATTTTAAGGAGGTAAGAGCACAAGCTATGCAGATATCCAGACCGGCATTTTCAGGAACAGGGATCATAAATGAAAAAATCCTGGGAGTGTGTACTGGGGCAGGGGAGCATTCTTGGCATGCTCCAGGAGGCACCTGGGGCTGGAGCCGAGTGCACAAGGAAGAAAATTATAGATGTGATGGAGAAGAAGGTAGTGAAAGAATTTAGGAGGCTTTCACTTTTACTCTGTGTGAGGTAAGGTTTTGCACAGAAGTGTAACATCTGACTTCCATTTTTAAAGATTACTTTCTGCTTAATTAAGAATAGACTATGTGCCCTGACTGGTTTGGCTCAGTAGATAGAGCGTTGGCCTTCGGACTTAAGGGTCCCGGGTTTGATTCCAGTCAAGGACATGTACCTTGCTTGGTTGCAGGCACATCCCCGGTAGGGGATGTGCAGGAGGCAGCTGATTGATGCTTCTCTCTCATTGATGTTTCTAACTCTCTTTCCCTCTCCCTTCCTCTCTGTAAAAAATCAATAAAATATATATATTTTTTAAAAAGAATAGACTGTGAGGGATACAGTAGAATAAACGAGGCAGAGAGACTGGTTCTCAACCTTCTGGCCCTTTAAATACAGTTCCTCATGTTGTGACCCAACCATAGAATTATTTTCGTTGCTACTTCATAACTGTAATGTTGCTACTGTTATGAATTGTAATGTAAATATCTGACATGCAGGATGGTCTTAGGCGACCCCTGTGAAAGGGTTGTTCGACCGCCAAAGGGGTCGCGACCCACAGGTTGAGAACTGCTGAGTTAGGAGGTTATAGTCTCCTCAAAGTCAAGTGAAGAAAGTGAACCAGTGAACATGATGAAAAAATTATCAAATTCTGTCTATAGTTGAAGGTGAAACCAATATGATTTGATGAACTCGATGTGATGTGAGAAAAAGAGTGGAATTAAGGATCATTCCCAGGTTTTTGGCGTAAGCTAAGTATAGAGTTGACCTCACTTGATAAGGAACACAGTGGGTGGAGCATGGGGGGAAGGGTTATATATAACTTTTTATCAGATCTGTTACATGAGAAGTTCTTTAAGGCATTGAAATGGTGAGGCTGAGTAGGCAATTGGGTATATGACTCTAGAGTTCAGTTGAATGAAAGTATTTTAAATCCTGAAACTGGACAACATCAAAAAGGGAGTGAGTGTTAAAAAAAAAAAAAAAAAAAAAAAAAAAGAGGTCCAAGGACTGACTCTTGAGAACTTTAAACAGTATGAGGTCAGGAAGATAAGGTGAAATGCAAACAGTGAAGTGGGTAGAAAGAAAACCAGATGCGATGCATGTGGTGGCCTGGAAGCCAAGTGCTTCGAGGAAGGGAGAGTGACCACCTGAGTCAGTGCTGCAGATGGTTCTAAAAACGTAAGGACTGAGCAGCAAACAGTGGACTTAACACTGGGGAAGTCATTGTTAATCACTCAGTTGTTACAGTATCACAGTGCTTGTGTTCAATTCACCCTTTTTTACTTAATAATGTCCCCAAAGCCATTCACATAACTTTTATTACAGTATATTGTTGTAACTGTTCTATTTTATTACTGTTAATCTCTTACTGTATCTTATTTATAAATGATGAGAGAGAATCATTGATCGGCTCCCTCCTGCATGCCCCCTATTAGGGATTGAGCCCAGCCCGCAACCCAGGCATGTGCCTTTGACTAAAATCAAACCCGGGATCCTTCAGTATGCAGGCCAACATTCTATTCACTGAGCCAAACCAGCTAGGGCTATAAATTAAACTTTATTGTAGGTAGGTATGTATGCATAGGGAAAATAGTGTATATAGAGTACAGTACTATCCACAGTTTCAGGCATCCATTGGGGGTCTTAGAATGTATCCCCTGTGGATAAGGGGAAACTACTGTATTTCTAAATTTCTAGATAATACGATGTCTTTCTGAGTACTACTCTGGAGTTCAAGACGCTCTCTCTGAGTCACTGGCCAAAGGAAGTGCCAAGTATATTTTATTTTAGACATGTTTGAGAAAAAGACATTTGGAGAAAACGTTTCACACTATATTTATATGATGAAAGGTTCTAAACTCTTAGCAATGTCTCAAGAAAGAGACCTTGGAGCTACTGCAGACCCTTGGCTAGCAATGCTGGACATATGAGATGTTTTGGCAAAAACACCAACTAAGTACATCCTCAGGGAGAAGCCAGGGCAGGAAATACCAGCTTCAGCCTTATCTAGAATCTACATTAAAATCTTAGTGTCTCTGCACACTGTGTACTATATCCAAATATGACTCCTCAAGAGACACAGCAAAGCCCTACCTGGTTTGGCTCAGTGGATAGAGCATCGGCCTGCAGACTGAAGGGTCCGGGTTTGATTCTGGTCAAGGGCACATGCCGGGTTGCGGGCTTGACCCCCAGTGGGAAGCGTGCAGGAGGCAGCTGATCGGTGATTCTCTCTCATCATTGATGTTTCTATCTCTCTCCCCCTGCCTTCCTCTCTGAAATAAATAAAAATATTTTTTTTAAAAAAAGAGAGACACAGCAGAGCAGAACATGTTGAAAGAAATGATAACTAAGATAATAACAGGGAATGTCATAAACTTATAAGAACAAACATAGTTGCCTTCATTCATACATAGTTAGGACAAAGGGGAGGGGGATAAAAGTCTTTGATATCAAAGGGAGAATGAGAGGAGAAACAGACCACCTACTTTCCTGACATTGGACTTAAGGCAACCTTTTGAAGAATAAAATAGGTCAAATATTTAGGCCAATTAAAAAGAAATAAGGTTTTAGAATTCATTTCCCTAGAAGAAAGTTTGGGAGATGAGCTGAGTTTGTGAATGACTAAGCATGTGGGATTTAACGTGGGCAGGAAAGGGCTGTCATCCTAAGCAGCCTGGCCTCATATTCCCTGTCAAACCAACTTAATGTCCTCAGATATCCCTACCTTAGTCCTTAATCCTGGTTCACTAGCCTCAGGCCTGGAAATGCCAGAAACCAGAGAGCATCCAAGAATAAAAAGACAGTCCACCTCCCTAGATGTGACCAGGCCAGTTCTCTTTCCTCACCTGGTCAGTCTGGCAAGCCTAACAGTCCTAACACCTTTCTGCTTCCACCCTTTCCCTTAGCCCTCCCTCAGGTATAGATCAGCCAAGACTTCTTATCCCCCATCTACCTAATGTCTGTGGGTCTTGGTATAGGGGCTCAATCAGTCCTGAGTCCGTGTCCTTCACTGCTGCTCACCCACCTGGTCATGTGCCTATGAGGCCAAGCAGCTGGGAAGGGTAGAGCCTTGCAAATATCTAATGCTCTAACATCCTGCCACCAGGAACGCTTTGATTCTTGGAAAAGAAACCTTGCCCCTGGTCCCAGCTGCACCAGCCTCTCCCACTTGGTTCTAGCCTGATCTTGACTCTGCTATTGTCTTATCCTCACAGAAAGTTGAGGAAGCGAGCGGCCAAAGCCTCGGCCCGACGCCCCAAGCCCCTTGGCAGGTAATGGGGCGAGAGCCCTGGGACCTCCTGCCGCCTCGATGGCCCAGGAGGTGGATGGATGGAAGGCAGCCTATCCATGTCCATCCCCAAACCCAAACGGATGAATTAAGGCTATGACTGGGGGTGGGGCCAGGAGGGAGGCAGACATGGGAATGGGCAAGCTTTGACCTTAGGGAGCACAAGGAGGAATAACGTAGGAATGAATGGCTGAGGGACAGCCTCCTCATCCTTATATTTCCCCCAATAGCTGAGCCACCCGCATGCTTTCTCACCTTCCCCCAATCTTTACCTCCCTTAATTCACCCACATTCCCATTCTCTCTTCTGCCTTAACTTTCCTCTTATCTCCTCCCCTCCCCCACCTGGACTGACACCCATTCGATTTCTCCTCACTGTTGCTGAATCCAGAGAGCAGCATGAGATCCTGAGATACAGTTCAGTGGCACACAGCCGTCAGTGTATGTGGCACACTGGGCCACCTTCACTCCACCCCTTCCCACACTCTGCATGAGGGGTTCTTTCCAGAAACACACCAAAAAAATCACCCTCTGCCTTTCCTGGGCCATGTACCTAACCACTACTTCCACTAACTTATTTCTCCTTTTTCAGACCAATCACCAAGCGTAAAGTCAAAACCAAACCCCGAGTGGGCAGGGGGCCAATCAAGAGGTAAATAAAGTTCAGGCTGGGTGGTCAGGAGAGGGACTGCCTAGTGGTGAGCCCTGTGACTGGGCTTTGGTCAGGAAGGGGTCCAAGAGAGCCCTCCACCACGCGGGGGAGGAGCAGCAGCAGCTAATACAGACCCCCTTCCAGATGATGCACTGAAAGGGAAAGTAAGGCTGGTCCTTATGGTGGTCTCTGGGGAATTGTGCTTGTCAAGGGATTTGCGGAAAGCTCTATAGGAGTTCATCCACTGACTGCCCTTGCTCCACCTGCTCGTTTACTCCCTCAGTGAATTCTAGCAGAAACTCTGGCACTTTTGTCCTTCAGGTGCCAATGCTTGCCTCTCCCCTAAGAAGTTGTCTGAGGGATCAGTGTTCCCATCCTACCTTTATTTGATTCATTTTTTAAAATATATTTTTACTGATTGCAGAGAGGAAGGGAGAGAGAGATGGAAACATCAATGATGAGAGAAAATCATTGATCGGCTGCCTCCTGCACACCGCGCACTGGGGATCAAGCCCACAACCCAGGCATGTGCCCTGACTGGGAATCAAACCTGTGACTCCCTGGTTCATAGGTGGATGCTCAACCACTGAGCCACACCGGCCGGGCTTGATTCATTTTTTAAAATAAGTGCTACTGACCTGGACGTAAGACTCAGTGTTCCCTCTGGAACCTTTACCAAGGATGGGATCCTCTGTGGCCCCATGGACACAATTAGGCTCCCAGTTCCCTAATTTTCCTCCTGGGTTTCTTCAAAGAGAACACGAGGGAGTGGAAAAGTTCCAAGCCGTGATTACATCTCACTAGGCTTCCAAAGGCCATTTGCACACGCAAAGTCTCCCTGATAACTTCTTGCAGTGGCTGAGGTACAGAGAACCCATCCCTTTCTACTGTGCCCTCCTCTCTTCGGTGCATTCTGAGGTCACCCACTGGTCTCCTGCGACCCCTCATTCTCCAGCTCCTCCCTCTGGTGGCTTCAAAGGGTGTACTTGTGGTGCTTTTTAGCTTTGGGTCATCTTTGCCCAGCATAACCATTCTCTAGCCTTCCCTGACCCCTCATTAAAGTGCACATTGCCATGTTTACTTTGAGAATTGTGGGAAAAGGGGAGGAGGGAGTTCAGAAGAGAGGTGTCTTTTTCCTGTGATGGCCTCTTTGACTTTTATTTTCAGCCAAACAGGACTTTGGGAGAGTACCTGATCTCTTTGAGCTTCAGAAGCCACTTATCCTGAGCTTCCAAAGGTATTCTGTCGAGTCTGCAGGCTTCCTTTGCTGTGTTTATAACTGTTTCCTCCTCTGTGTCTTCCTAGCCAATGTCTTCAAATGGTCATGTTTCTTCCTTCCTCTGACATCAAGTGATGAGGCACATTACTGCGATAATTCACTGTCAAACCAGCCTTACCGGCCCACTCCACCAATACCAGGCCTCAGCTGGTTCCCTTCCCCTCTGGGCTCGAACCAGCTGTCCTGGGAAGAATGTACTTCTGTTGTCACATGCCTAGGTGCAATCTCTTATTTCATTAGTGTCAATAAATAAATCCCCTCATTCTCTCAAGCATCTCTCCGCAGTACTTCCAAATTTTAACATCCCTGGTTTAGTCCCATTGTCCTGCTCTGGTGGCTATGGAGCATTCTTTCTAATAGGTTTAAATTGCAAAAGCACAGGCTGCCTCATTAAAGACTCACAGCCAGCTCAAGTCTGGGGATGGGGATGTCTTTACCATTGTTGTTCACATTCACTCTCCTTCTCTGGCCATGTGGACCCTCTAACTCTTGTTTGTCTTGCATTTATACATCATCACCACATATGCCAGCTCCAGTCTTCTGTGTGCCCACCATCTGGTCTGTTCTCCCATAACTGCCTGTCATACTCTGGCCTACAGAGCCTCTGGCCTGAAAGTCCCTCTGGCCTCTACGGAGCCATTTAGACCCGATACTCACTTGTTTGCATTCTGACTCATTTAGTTAGTCCCGTCTCAGCACAATAGAAGGATCTGCTCACTCTGGCTGTTCAGGCTTCCTGTTCACGTCGACTGCCCCTCCTGCCCATCTCTTCCCACTGGGAAGTCCTAGCTTCCCATTCTCTTTGCACAGCAGCCTCAGCCTCAGCCTCCGTTAGGCTCAGCAGCCTGCAACCATTTGGAACAAGGTCTCTGTCAGGCAAGTCAAGACTAGCCGCCCTCCCGTAGGGTTCTTCTGCTGCAGAAGGTCCCCCGAAGACCCTCTGTCTGGGTACCCGGGCCCTTTCAGCCTGGAAATTGCCATTCCCTTGGTCCTGTGGAGGGCAGCATTGCAGAGACCAGGGGAAGAAGAGGGGTAAAGAGGTCGTGAAAAGTGAGGGGATGGCGGCGGCGGGGGATGGGAGGAGGGTTGTGAGCAAAGCGGCGGGAGCATTGTCTTACCCTACTGCTCCCCACTCCTGTCCCCACAGGCTGCTGGCCCAGCGGCAGCAACACTCCTTTGGTCTGCATGGGGTGGCGTGCGTGGGCACGGAGGCCCACCTCTCCCTCTGTTCCTTGGAGTTCTATCGTGCCAATGACACCGCCAGGTGCCCTGGGGGTGCCCCTGTGGTGGTGAGCTGTGTGCCAGGTCCTCTCTATGCAGCCTCCAACGGCCAGAAGAAGCAACAACAGTTGAAACTTCAGGAGGAGGTTTGTGAGACCGTGACCATGACCTTTCCCGCCCCGGGTGGGGAACGCCCCTAGCCTGGCCACCCATGACTAAGCACAGCCCTGACCTTTAAGGACAGAGAGGAACCTTCCCGCGGGTGGGCCACCTGAGACATCGCCCCATCCCTTCCACCGTTCCTCTCCAGCTCTGCTCAGCCCTCTCTGTGCTGATGTTCCCACTCACTGCCACGGGACTGTCTCTCTTCTCTACAGGCCCGCGTGCGTCTGAAGGGTGGGGCCCGCCCCGGAGAGGGCCGGGTGGAAGTCCTGAAGGCTGGCACGTGGGGCACAGTCTGTGACCGCAAGTGGGACCTACAGGCGGCCAGCGTGGTGTGTCGGGAGCTGGGCTTTGGGACCGCTCGAGAGGCTCTCAGTGGTGCCCGCATGGGGCAGGGTGAGGGGGATGAAGGTGGGAGGGAAGGGGAAGGGAGAGGTACACACTCCTGGGGGAGTATAATCCTTGGGGAGGAGACCCCTGGACAATGAAAGCCCAGTTACAACCTCTTGATGTTTGTTTGGCCTTTGACCCTAGGCATGGGTGCCATCCACTTGAGTGAAGTCCGATGCTCTGGACAGGAACCCACCCTCTGGAAGTGCCCTCACAAGAACATCACTGCTGAGGACTGTTCTCATGGCCAGGATGCTGGAGTCCGATGCAACCTGCCCTACACTGGGGTAGAGACCAGGGTCAGTCACACTTTCCCCCTTGGTTCAGGGGCCTCACATCCTATCCAGTCGTTGTCATGCTCTGAAGTGTGACCACAGCCCTAGGCCCCTGCAATACTGCAGCTCCCACCTGACACCATCGCTGTTCACCCTTTACGTGCCTCTGAATCACCCTTCAGCCACATGCCTGCTACAGACTCCCACTACCCCACCCCAAAAGCTTCCCCGGCTCTTCTATTCTGTCACTACAGATCCGACTCAGTGGGGGCCGCAGCAGACATGAAGGGCGAGTTGAGGTGCAAATAGGGGGGCCTGGGCACCTTCGCTGGGGCCTCATCTGTGGGGATGACTGGGGGACACTGGAGGCCATGGTGGTCTGTAGGCAACTCGGACTGGGCTATGCCAACCATGGCCTGCAGGTGAGTAGGAAGGAGGGGAACCAAGACTGTTGCCTCCAAAGCCTGTGTTGGGGCCGAGGACTGTGGAAATGAGTCCTTTGGCCCAGGAGGCTGGATGGTGGGGCCTCACAAACACCTATGTATGTCCCCAGGAGACCTGGTACTGGGACTCAGGGAACGTAACAGAGGTGGTGATGAGTGGAGTGCGCTGCACTGGGACTGAGCTGTCCATGGACCAATGTGCTCATCATGGCACCCACATCACCTGCAAGAGGACAGGAACCCGTTTCACTGCTGGAGTCATCTGTTCGGAGAGTGAGTGGAGAGCCAGCCAGGGAAGGGAGATTCTGGGCCACCCCTTTTGGAGAAAGAGGGCTTTAATCTGGAGGGATACTCCTTCCCTGTGGAAAACCAGCCTTGCACACATCCGGCGGTGGGGGGAGGAAGCACCCCCATCTGTCCTCGCCCTTCAGCAGTGACTTCTAACACTCCCCTTCCTTCCTGGGCGCAGCCGCATCAGATCTGCTGCTGCACTCAGCACTGGTGCAGGAGACCGCCTACATCGAGGACCGACCCCTGCACATGCTGTACTGCGCTGCCGAAGAGAACTGTCTGTCCCACTCGGCCCGCTCAGCCAACTGGCCTTATGGCCACCGCCGTCTACTCCGATTCTCCTCCCAGATTCACAACCTGGGAAGAGCTGACTTCAGGCCCAAGGCTGGGCGCCACTCCTGGGTGTGGCACGAGTGTCATGGGTGAGAGGGTCAAGTAGAAGGGCAAAGCCACTGGGGATAGAGTGAACCTGCTGGGCGCAGGGAAGGAAACAGGGGTTCCCTTGTCTCTTGTCCCCACAGGCATTACCACAGTATGGACATCTTCACTCACTATGATATCCTGACCCCCAATGGCACCAAGGTGGCCGAGGGCCACAAAGCTAGTTTCTGTCTCGAAGACACCGAGTGTCAGGAGGGTGAGTGGTGCCTAGAATGAGCTACAATATCTCCACCCCATAAGCTTGCCTCACACTGACATATGCCATGCCAACCCCTTCAGATGTCTCCAAGAGGTATGAGTGTGCCAACTTTGGAGAGCAGGGCATCACTGTGGGTTGCTGGGATCTCTACCGACATGACATTGACTGTCAGTGGATTGACATCACAGATGTGAAGCCAGGAAACTACATTCTACAGGTGCCTGGGGTCTGAGATTTCCAGCTGGTGAGGGGGCGCAGTGTTTATTCTAGACAACTTTGAATTATGTTGCTTTTCTCCCACTCGTAGGTGGTCATCAACCCCAATTATGAAGTAGCAGAGACTGACTTCACCAACAATGCAATGAAATGTAACTGCAAATATGATGGACATCGCATCTGGGTGCACAACTGCCACATTGGTATTTGGTGGGAAAAGCAGCCCAGGAAGACGGGATGGGAGGGAAAGCCCTTCATTCTCTTCTCCCTGAGTTGTTTCTGTCTTCCCACCCACCTCTGGATCTCCAGCCTCTTCATTTCCCCCCACCCTTCCCCACAAAGGGTCTGTTTTCCTGCCCAAACCACCCATTCACTTTACAGGTGATGCCTTCAGTGAAGAGGCCAATAAGAGGTTCGAGCGCTACCCTGGCCAGACCAGTAACCAGATCATCTAAGGTGCCAATACCCACCTCTTCAAACCACCACTGGCCCCTAATGGTAGGGGTCTGAGGCTGCCATTACCTCAGGAGCTTAAAAGGAACCCGGATGTCAGCAGGCGCACTGCAATCATGCAGTGTGTACTAAGGATGTGGAACTGTCAAGCCTAAGTTATCAACCTCCTCCCAAGGCCAGTGGTCCGGATCTGTGGCCGAGCATGGGGAATCCTGGCTCTCAGGCCCAGCACTGAGCTGAGCTCGAGACAAAGAGCAGCACCTGATTAACTAGCCAGAACAAGAGACAGCAGCAGCTCGTTTTCTCAAAGAGCGAGGTCAGGACGGTCAGCTCCAGTATATCCTCTCAGTTCAGGGGAAATACAGCTTTACCTCGAGCCTTTTTATGGGGGAAAAGATCAGTGCCCCCTCCTTCATTTTTGACTATAACATGTTGCTAGGTATAATTTTATTTTATATAAAAAATGTTTTTGTGATTCCTCAGAGCCCAGGGATTGGTGCTGGTGGTTGGAGGGGACCGGCCCCCCACTGGCTCCTTTAATCCTCTGTCCAGGTGCCCTCAGAGCCTAGGCCAGGAAAGCAAGGTGGAAATCAGAGCAGGAGCCCCATTCTCTTGTTGATCCATTCATTCTGTGATTTCAGGGGTCACATATAAAGTCAATGTTTCCGGTCCCCGCCGGATCCGCACTGCCAGCTGGGATTGGGTTCGAACAGCTTCATAAATATCTTCAGCATTTTGTACCACCTTCTCCCCAATGGCCAAGATCACATCACCTGGCCGCAGACCAGCCCTAAGGCAAAGGATGGGCAGAGAGAAAGAAGGGAGCAGATAGTCCGGTTCAAGGGCACATGCACACCTTACCCATCCCCACCGCACAGCGCAGTCCCTCCCTCACCGGTGCGCAGGGGAGTCCAGGATGACTTTGTGGATGAGCACACCATGTTGAACATCAGGAAAGCTGGGTTCTCGAAGCTGGAGTTCAGCAAGGATGCTGAAAGGACACAAACCATGCTGGTAACCACTCCGAGGTACTCTCAAGCCCATTTGAGGTTCACCTTAAATTTCTCCATACACTGGCGATTGTATGGACAGGAAATGCACTACATACTCCAGATACAAAGGCAATTTACTTCTGCCTTCTACTAGCTAGGAAATGGAACATTATAGAAAAGATACCTAATTCCATGTAACACATGTTAAGTCAATAGCACTAATCTCATTCTAGAATCCTAAGAGAAGCTTTAAGGGAGTAGAATTTAAGTTGAGCCTAGAGCACTGGTTCTCAACCTTGGCTGCACATTCGAATCACCTGGGAATCTTTTAAAAATCCAGGATTTTTAAAAGATTCCCAGGTGATTCTAATGTGCAGCCAAGGTTGAGAACCACTGGCCTAGAGGGATAGATAGGCCTAATATTTAAGTATATAAAACAAGAACAACATAAATAAAGACCTGGAGTAGGAAATCAGGTTGACTGGAACAGAATATATTCACATAGGAAGCCAGGTCTGGAAAATGGCCCCTAAACACTAAATTAACAGACTGTAAATCAAAGAAGTAATGGGATGAAATCAATCTGGTGGCAGTTGTGCAAAACGGAGTGGGGTGAAATAGTCAAGAGAACAGCTGTTCTGATATCTCCAGGTGTGAGGTAATTCACTATAGATAAAGACAGAATTGAGAATAAAGCTCAATAGAAATTGCATTTGCCCACCAATGTAGGTGGTCCTCATACCTGGGAGTCAGGGTCAACATCATCACCCCAATGTAGCGGCGCTGGGACCCACTGGTTCCAAACCAGGAATCTGTGATAAAAAGACAAACGAGCCTCATCTAGCTACATCCTTCCTTCCCTTCTCTCTAATCCCAGCAGACCTTCTCCAACAAGGCCCAATGAACGCCCCACCCACCGCTTAAAGGACCCTCCCCACCCCAAGCCAGGCTCACTCTTCTTTTCCCCACGACGCAGAAACTCCCGAAGGCGATCAGAGGGGATGGCAAAGGAGATCCCAGCTGTGACCTTCATGGTATTCACTCCAATCACCTCCCCATCCTGCAGGGACAGAGCCCACTATTCCTTAGCCCAAACCAATAGTGGGAGATGGGGTTACCTGAACAAGAAGTGAGGGAGTGTTGGGGAGATCTGGTTGAATTCTGGATGACAGCTAGCAAGGGACTGTTCAGAAACTTGACCAAACCTCATTGAATTGGGGAAAAACCCACCCCTCTCCACACTGACCTGGGGCAGGGATTCCTGGAAAGAAGAATGTTCCACTCACCAGGTTAACCAGGGGACCTCCAGAATTTCCGAACTGCGGGACAAGGAGAAAATATGGAAGAGATCCAAGGACTCCATGCCTGGGGGCATACCAGGATGTAGGCCTTTTCTCCAAATTATCTCCTTTCCCAGCCCTGGAACAGGGGCCACATTTTTGCAGCCCAACTATGATATACAGGGGGCGGGCAAAAGTAGCTTTACAGTTGTAATACAATAATAAGTAATAATAACACAATAAGTAATAATACACGGATAAACTGTGTTTCGTGTACTCACAACTGTAGATACTTTTGCTCAGCCCTTGATAGGCTCATCCACCATCTATCACACTTGGTGCCTGCACCACACAGCCTCGCCCCTTCTCCCAACCTAGACCGCCATCCCCCTTTACCCCCGCCCCCCCCCTCTCCACCCCCATCAGTACGCACATCAATGGCTGCATCAGTCTGGATGTATTCCACATTGTTTTGGGGGAGGCCCAGTTCTTTGGCCGGACGCTGAACCGAGCTGACGATGCCGGACGTGATCGTGTTCTGCAGTGCAAAGGGGCTTCCCATGGCCACCACAAACTCCCCTTGCCGGACATCCGCGGAGCGTCCCAGGGGCAGTGTGGGGAGAGGCTCCTAAAGGGAATGGGTCCAAGGGGCCCGTCACCTGGGGGTGCCGGCAAATGCACAGCCCCGAGCGGACCCGGCCGGCCCGGACCCCACCTTGGTCTGGATCCTCAGCGTGGCGATGTCGGCCACCGGATCCACGGCCGTGACCGTGGCTTCGTAGGTGTCGCCGCTGGGCAGCCTCACTCGAACGCGGCGCCGATCAGCCACCACGTGGGCGTTGGTCACAATGAGCCCGTCCGCAGCCACCACGAATCCTGAGCCGTTCGAGATGGGGACTTCGCGGCCGGAAAAGGGGTGTCTGGAACGGGGGGAAGCGCGGGTGTGAGGAGGACGGGCTCCTCCGGCTCGCCCGCCCTCTAGCCCGCGACTCCGGTGCCGCTGGTCTACCCCGCCGTTACCGGCCCAGGATCTCGATATAAACGACCGCAGGTGCGGTCTTCTCCACCACGTCGGCGATGAAGTTGTACTGGCTCCGGGGAGAGGTGGGCGGCGGGCGAAGGACAGCGGCAAAGACGGCCGGGGGACCCCGCCCCCAGCCCCACAGCAACAGGAGCACTGCCCCCCCAGCGCCCAAGGCCACAGCCAGCCATGTGCGTGGAGGGGACCCAGGGGCCCCTGAGCCCTCCCGGGTCTGAGGATCCGGGGCCCCCGCAGTCAGCCGTGCTCGGGAATCCGAAGTCCCCGGCGTCAGACACGTTCGTGGTCCGGGGACCCCCACAGAGAACCGGGCCCGGAGACTGGGGGTCCCATAAGTCACTCGGGCCCGAGGGCTTCCTGACGTCAGCAGGGCCCGGAGGTCAGGGGTCAACAGGGGCGCCTTCCCCCAGCGAAATCCCCCCAAAGCCCGCCATCCCCGAAGGCTCCAGCCTGCACCCCGCCCCGCCCTCAGTGCAGCCATCAGCTCCGCCTCGGCGGCCTCCTCGCCCGCCCTACACAGAGGCGGCGCCCGGGACGTGAGCAGGTGACCGCGGGGCGCGGGGCACGCCGGTACTTGAAGTCCTTCAGGGGCGCACCCGGCCCCGGATTCCGGGAGGCCGGCTCCGCCCCCCGCCCCGAGAATGCCGGGAATTGTAGTCCCTGCGGCACGCGAGCTCTGAGGCGGCCCCAGGGCCCGCTAGGCATGCTGGGGCGGCTAGCCCTTCCGGGGCGCAGGAGGATTTTGGGTCCTGGCACCCAGGGCCGACGCCCGGAGACTCCGCCTTCCCAGGAGCCCCTGCGGCAGGTCGCGAAGATGGCGGCGGCGGCGGCGGCGGCCGGACACCCCTAAAGCAACCGCGATGGACCCTCCCCAAGCGCCGGGGCCGGAGCGACTCTTTGACTCGCACCGGTAAGAACGCCTGCGGGGACACACCGGCGCCCGCACTCCCTCGGCCCTCGGCGCCCGATCATCCCGCCTCTCGCCCCCAGGCTCCCGGGTGACGGCTTCCTGCTCCTCGCGCTGCTGCTCTACGCGCCCGTCGGGTTCTGCCTCCTCGTCCTGCGCCTCTTCCTCGGGATCCACGTCTTCCTAGTCAGCTGCGCGCTGCCGGACAGCGTCCTTCGCAGGTTCCGACCCGGGCGCTCGGGGAGGGTCGGGACCGGGTTCGGCCCGGGCAGTGCCGTCACGATCGCCTGCGCCCGCAGGTTCGTGGTGCGGACCATGTGTGCGGTGCTGGGGCTCGTGGCCCGGCAGGAGGACTCGGGACTCCGGGATCACCGCGTCCGGGTCCTCATTTCCAACCACGTGACGCCTTTCGATCACAACATAGTCAACCTGCTCACCAGCTGCAGCACCGTGAGTGGGGCGAAGCCAGAACTCCCGGGGCAGTGCCCGGGGGCCCGGCGCCAGGCCACCCCCCGCCCGCCCGGTGTTGCCTGGGACGCCACCAGATACTGAGCCGCACCCCGAACCCCGTTTCTACCCCCGCCCCCCATTTGTCAGTTTTGTCACTTCACAACATTCTTCTTGCTTTCTCTCTCCCCTCTTCCCAGCCTCTACTCAATAGCCCCCCCAGCTTTGTGTGCTGGTCTCGGGGCTTCCTGGAGATGGATGGGCGGGGGGAGTTGGTGGAGTCACTCAAGAGATTCTGTGCTTCCACGAGGCTTCCCCCAACCCCCCTGCTGCTCTTCCCCGAGGAAGAGGCCACCAATGGCCGGGAGGGGCTCCTGCGCTTCAGGTGGGTGAGCACAGGTGTTGGCCTCCACATGCCTTGGTAGTCAAGCTCGAGGGCCCTTGGGTTTTCACGACCTTCTTCAGCCCTAACCCCCTCCATTCTTCGTCCATTTCCTTCCTGTCCACTTTTGGCTCTTACCCCCGAGTCCCTTCAGTCCCCATGTATCCACGTGGGCAGCGTGACAGTTCCGGTTTGGAGTCAGGTATGAGCTGCTGGCTGGGCTGGCTGGAGTCCCATTCTGTTCTCTCTTCCTTCCAGTTCCTGGCCATTTTCTATCCAGGATGTGGTACAGCCTCTTACCCTTCGAGTCCAGAGACCCCTAGTCTCTGTGGTGAGTGCATGTTGCATAGGGAATCCTTGGGGCTTGGGGGAAAGTTTCCCACTCACGGCCCTGACTTAGATCTCACTTCGTGCCTTCCTCTCAGACGGTGTCAGATGCCTCCTGGGTGTCAGAACTGTTGTGGTCACTTTTTGTCCCTTTCACGGTGTACCAAGTAAGGTATTGTCCTCATTTTTTGGTGGCTGGGAAAAGTTCACCCCAAGGTCAAGAAAGTAGTTGCCTCTGCCTTGTCCACTTGCAGATCTTTTAATAGCAAGGTTCCACCACAGAGGCAGTACAAAGAATTTACTCTCTCCCCGCCCTCACCACCACTATCCCATGAAGAGAGGTATCAGCAGGTGCCCCCAACATGGCCCTGGATTGTTTTTTGCAGGTGGCTCCGTCCTGTTCATCGCCAGCTGGGGGAGGGGAATGAGGAGTTCGCCCTCCGTGTACAACAGGTGGTAGGGTACTCAGGCAGGGCGGAGTCGGGGTCTTTCCTCAGGTGGAGAGGGACGAAGGCTTGAGACCTTGACACTCCCAACCTTCCGATTCTCCCTAGCTGGTGGCCAAAGAACTGGGCCAGACAGGGACACGACTCACTCCCGCAGACAAAGCAGAGCACATGAAGCGACAAAGACATGCCAGATTGCACCCCCAGTCAGGTGTGTGGTCTCCGTACACCGAGCTTTTTGTTTTCCTTCAGCTTATTGTGATGTCCTCCCTATTCCTGCGCTCGTCAGTCTTTCCTTCCTCCCGTCTCCACTCACCATATTTTGGATTTCTTTTTTGCAGCCCAGTCTTCTTTTCCTCCCTCCCCTGGCCCTTCTCCTGATGTGCAGCTGGCAACTCTGGCTCAAAGAGTCAAGGAGGTTTTACCCCATGTGCCACTGGGCGTCATCCAGAGAGATCTCGGTATGGGAAAGGGTAGCCCCACACAGGAAGACACAGAGAGGAAAAGTGGGTGATAAGGGGGAAAGGTGAGCAGGGAAACAGGCCCCCTCTCCTCTCTTCCCTTCTCCCCAGCCAGGACTGGATGTGTAGACTTGACCATCACCAATTTACTTGAGGGAGCTGTAGCTTTCATACCTGAAGACATCACTGAGGGGACCCAGGCCCTTCCCACAGCCTCTGCCCCCAAGGTGAGACCCAGGAAATGGTCAGATCCAAGACCTGGGGAGGGTGGGGCAGTCTGCATACTCCCTTTCCCTGATGTCTCTGTTTTGATCCTGAGACCCTAGCACAGTGCCTCTCTTGCAAAGTAGGCATTCGATGCAGGTTTAATGATGATGACTTCGCAAGCCCTCTGACATTGTGATCACCTCAGTTCCCCAGCTCTGGCCCGGTGAGCCCTCAGCCCACAGCCCTAACATTTGCCAAGTCCTCCTGGGCCCGGCAAGAAAGCCTACAGGAGCGCAAGCAAGCACTATATGAATATGCAAGAAGGTGAGGGGCTTAGAGAATAATGGGTAGGAAGGGGCAGGTTGAAGAAGGGAGCTAATTATGGAGTTAATATGGCAAAGCCCACACGATGTCTCCCCCCCTATGTCCCACAGGAGATTCACAGAAAGACAGGCCCAGGAGGCTGACTGAGCACAGGATGGCACCCAGAGCCGCAGGACGGAGACTGGGGGCAGCCCTCACCCAACTCAACAGGCCGGATGGGTGGGTGGTAGAAAGGGAGAGATGGGGCTCCCCCCAGCATCACATTAAATTCAGGGCTTTCACTCAAGGTCTCTGTTGCCTCTCTGGGTGTAAAAAGCCCCCTGAACAGGTTCCTTTTTCCTCGTGTGGGTGGAATGGGGATGAGGTCTTCTTTGTAGGCTTGTGGGGGGTGGTCAGGATGGAACTGTCTGAAATCGCCTCCTCATGTCAAGAAATGAATGATATTAAGGAAGTGTAACTGAACTGAAGACCCAGCAGCAACTGAACATAGCTGGGGTGTTCAGCCCAGGTTTGTGAAGAAACAGCTGCAAAACTACAAGTCCCAGGATGCCTTTCACTGAACATGGTGTTTATGTAGAGTTCATAGCTGGGTGCGATGGCTGGAGTCTGTTTTCCATAGGCTCCTGACTAGGTTAAATGAGGCGGAGCAAATGGCTCCACCCCAGAAGTGTCTAGAATTGTATTTGAGCCAAGCCCCAGGGTGGAGCCGGAACTGACCTTTGTACTTCATGCTGGTCAAGGTTGGTGGGAACTGGCTGTGTGGTTCTGGAACTGGCTGCCGTCCTGACACGTCTCAGAGCTGCAAGCAGGTTTGATTCCAGGATTCTGTGGCCCTACTCCCCTCCTTTTATTCTTTATCCTTTTCCCTCGGGGTCCTTCCCACAGGTCTCACATAATTCCTGCTGCCCCTGAGGACTCCTGTGTTAGTCACAGGATTTTTACTACCTGCTTCAGGATACTCCACTTCTGATAGTCCTTTACTTGGAGACTTAGGTCTCCACTATTTCCTGGCAGCCAAGAAGTGCTGGGAAGGACCTGGCTGGGTGGTTCAGTTGGTTGGAGCATTACCCCATATACCTCCATATACGGGTAGGTGGAGGGTTCATTTCCTGGTCAGGGTACATATCTAGATTGCACGTTCAATCCATTCAGTTGTGGTGCATATGGGAGGCAACTGACTGATCTCTCTCTCTCTCCCACCCCACCCCCCGAAATCAATAAACATCCTCAGGTGAGGATTAGAAAAAACAGATACACACAGCCCTGACAGGTGTTCTCAGTGGTTAGAGCGAGGGCCCTGGGCACCAAAGAGCCTCGGGTTTGATTCCTGATCAAAGGCACCTGGGTTGCAGATTCAACAACCAATCAATATGGCTCTCATATCAATGTTTCTCCAAAAATCGGTGGAAATAATATCCTCAGGTGATGATTTTTTTTTTAAGTGCTTGGAAGGATGGACCTCGGTGCATTACCAGCTGAGGGTAACAGGTTGGGGATCAGGGCTGAGGTGCAAAGATGGTATGAGGCCTTAATGACTGCCCTGCCTTCTGTAGGTACTGCGGTGAGCTATCATGGCCTCTCAGCTTCTTGGCCTGACAGAAGAGTCTGGTCTGAGCCCTGGGGAGTCTGAATTGGCTGTGAACCCCTTTGACGGGCTTCCCTTCTCTTCCCACTACTACGACCTGCTTGAGCAGCGCCGAGCCTTGCCCATCTGGGCTGCTCGCTTTGTCTTCTTGGAGCAATTGGAGAGTAGCCCCAGTGGAGTGGTGATTGTGTCTGGAGAGCCTGGCTCTGGCAAGAGCACCCAGGTGGGGGTAGATTCTGGGAGAGACGAGGGGAGAGGCTAGGGAATTGGCCCTTCCTTGGGCAGAGGGGGATTGGACTGCCAGGGGTTATGGGGGAGGTAGGCAAAGGAGTCAGGTTAAGCTGGCCCCTGGGTGGTAAAGGACCAGTGTATGCCCCCAAATAAGGCCATAGCTCCCCTAGCCCTTCTGACTGAAGTCCTGTGTCTTGCTGACTGGTTGTCCTTCCCTACCCCTACCCTACCCCAGATCCCTCAGTGGTGTGCAGAGTTTGCACTGGCCAGGGGATGCCAGGTAACTGTCACTCAGCCCTACCCGCTGGCAGCCCTGAGCCTGGCCCTGCAGGTTGCTGATGAGATGGACCTGACCCTGGGTCATGAGGTTGGATACAGCATCCCCCAGGAGGATTGCACTGGGCCCCAAACCCTGCTCAGGTGAGGCTTCCTCCAGGCCTGATTCAAATCTAATTCCCCTCACGCAATAGGAAGAGGCCCAGCCCTCTGACACCTCACCATAACCTCTCAGCCCAGCTCACCCTTTAAAGCATGCATTATGCATTGCTGAATTAGACTCTTTAATCCTAGCCTGGACCTCACATTCATCCTCACACTCATTACAAAAGTCTGACTTTCCCAGCTGGGGTACAGCTTCTGGACAGTGTCACCAGTCAGTAAGGTTGTGGGTCACTGTTAAGGAATTCAGTCACAGTCTTTTTCTGACCTTAACTATCAAAATCTAGGCTCCCTGGGTAGAAGCTCCCCTGGACGGGCTGGCCAATATCCACACTGACTCCTGCCCACTGCCAATGTCAACAGGTTTTGCTGGGACAGGCTGCTTCTTCAGGAGGTGGCCTCAACCCGGGGCACTGGAGCCTGGGATGTGCTGGTACTGGATGAGGCTCAAGAGCGGTCAGTGGCCTCAGACTTGCTCCAGGGGCTGCTGCGAGATGCCAGGCTGGGAAACCTTCCAGGGGACCCCAAAGTGGTGGTGGTCACTGACCCAGCCCTTGAACCTAAGCTCCAAGCCTTCTGGGGCAATCCTCCTGTTGTACGTGTACCCAGGGGGCCTGGCAGGTGTCCCACTCCCACCTACAGGGACACTGTCCCTCCTGATCGAGTGGAAGCTGCCTGCCAAGCTGTGCTTGACTTGTGTCGAAAGGAGGCTCCAGGAGACGTGCTAGTGTACCTGCCCAGTGAGGAGGTAAAAAAACGGGCTGCAAAAGGAGGTGCTCCTTATGTCTCCTTCCTGTCCTGGGAATGGGAGCACTGCTTGTTAGGAACACTGGAGTTGTAGTATTCACTCTGTTGGGGTCCTGGGGAAACACTCAAGGATTTCAGGGTAAAGATGTCTACTACCCTCTTTTTTATTCCATCAAATGCAGAGATTAGTGGTTCAATGAATTCCTGAAATTATAACACTCCCCAACTTTTATGAGTACAGTGGGGCCTTGACTTACGAGTGTCCCGACTAACGAGTTTTTGAGCCATCTCTGGGCCGATTTTTTGCTTTGAGTTTCGAGCTAAAATTCGGGTTACGAGCCAGCTTCAGATACCCCACCACTAGTTGGCGCAGCGAACGTCACAGTGAACGCCACAACATCAGCCCAGCATCACGTGTCTCACTCGTTCACTTTAATGATTTGACATACGAGTAATTTGAGTTACGAGCTCCGTCATGGAACGAATTAAACTCGTAAGTCAAGGCCCCACTCTATGTGCATTTTTTCAGAGTGAAGGGCCATAGCTTTCATCAGTTTTTCAAAGAGGTCTGTGACCCAAAAGAGGTGAGAAGTGCCCTAACACCCCAACCCTCTCCTCAGGAAATTTCCCTGTGCTGTGAATCCTTGTCCAGGGAGGTAGAGACCTTGGCAATCCGAGGACCTCCACCACGGGTGCTGCCCCTTCACCCAGGCCATGGTCAAGCTGTTCAGGCTGTGTATGAAGACACAGACTCAGGTGCCCGAAAGATTGTGGTCACTCACTGGCTGGCTGACTTCTCCTTCTCCCTCCCTTCCATTCGACATGTCATTGACTCAGGACTGGAGCTTCGAAGTGTGAGTGACAAAGATGAGGGGTTGTGGAGGCTAGAGATATAAATGGCCCACTCTAATCTGTCTTGACCTTGGTTGGCGGGCGGTGACAGGTGTACAATCCTCAGATCCGAGCAGAATCCCAAGTGTTGAGACCAATCAGCAAGTGTCAGGCAAAGGCAAGACAACTACGGGCAAGAGGGGCCCCTCCAGGTAAGAGCCTTTGCCCTCCCTGACATCGCCCATGAAAGTCACTGACACGCAAGCATCGCGATGCCGAGAAATCTACAGTGGTCTTCTTTCCCAGGTCTTTTTCCCCTCAGGATCCTGCCTCTGCCTGTATCCTAAGTCCTTCCAAGAACTAGAAGCTCCCCCATTGCCCCAACCCAGGGTGTGTGAGGAAAATCTGAGCCCCCTGGTATTACTGCTAAAGAGGAGACAGATTGCAGAGCCAGGGGAATGTCACTTCCTGGACCGGCCTGGTGAGCACTCCTCCCGCCCAAGTCCTGCTGTCTGACCACAGGCTCTGAGTTCCTCTGCGCTATAAGCCCTGTTTCCTCCCCAGCTCCAGAAGCACTGATGCAGGCCCTGGAAGACTTAGACT